TGGATGAAGCTGTTCTTCAAGATCAAGCCCTTGCTGAAGAGCGCAGAATCAGAGAAGGAGATGGCCAATATGAAGGAAGAATTTGAGAAAACCAAGGAAGAGCTTGCAAAGTCTGAAGCAAAGAGGAAGGAGTTGGAGGAGAAAATGGTGGCTTTGCTGCAGGAAAAAAATGACCTGCAGCTACAAGTGCAGGCTGTGAGTATTGTATTTATTTGTCCATAAGAACAGCAGTTGGCACACTCATATATTCTCTGGCAAGCACAGACTGAAAAACTCCATCACACGTAACATACCTCTTTAAAAAGGCAAGAAGTGTACCATACATGCTGTGGTTTATGGGAGAAAAATATTATTTCTCTGAGCGATTATTAAATACCACCAGAAGCAAAATGAGTTAAGAAATTTCAGCAAACCTACATGACTTACCAAGGGAAAAGATTTTCCAAGGGAAAAGACTTATGCTTCTTTAAGAAGATAGAGTTTCAGGGACCATTCTTATGTGGTGCACATTAATATCTGAGTATCTCAAAATTATGAACTTCTTAAGCATATTACGAAATTTGTCTAAATATAGATGTATATATATTTGACAATAAGGTAGGCAAACAGATCACATAAAAATACTCCAGGATGATTTATTTCCTTAGAAAGAGATATAAAGCACCTCAGTAAAAGAACAAGACTGTTCAGTCATTTGGATGGAAGAGACACATCAGCCTACATGCTCACAGATGCCTCCTTGGTAACAGAACTGAGAAGTGTCAGAAATTTATAACCCAAGAAAATCTCTTATTCCTTCTAGGAAGCAGATAGCTTGGCCGATGCAGAGGAAAGATGTGATCAGCTGATCAAAACCAAAATCCAGTTGGAAGCCAAAATAAAGGAGGTGACTGAAAGAGCAGAGGATGAGGAGGAAATCAATGCTGAGCTGACAGCCAAGAAGAGGAAACTGGAGGATGAATGCTCAGAGCTGAAGAAAGATATTGATGACCTTGAGCTAACATTGGCCAAAGTTGAGAAGGAAAAGCATGCCACCGAAAACAAGGTACAGAATGGGAGGTTCGAATAAAAGGCCAAGGGAAAGAGGTGTCTGCCACAGCCTGAATCATAGAATGGTTGAGGTTGGAATGGACCTCTAGAGATCATCTAGTCCAACCTCTCTTCTCACGCAGGGACACCACAGTAAAGAGGTTTTTCCTCATGTACAGATAARATTTCCTGTGTTTCAATTTGTACCCATTTCTCTTTGTCCGTTCACTGGGGATCACCAAGAAGAGTATAGCCCCAGGCTGTTTACACATACCATGCACACTGCTAGTTTTGCAACATGGCAGCAACAAAGCGGGGCAGYCCAAAGGGAAATCAAGATCTTGACAGAGCATTCCAAAGTGATAAGGGGACTGCATAAACAGTGGTKTTTCCTGCCTGATTTTTGGACACTTGCTCATAATCTGCAGGTGAAAAACCTCACTGARGAGATGGCAGTCCTGGATGAAACCATTGCCAAGCTCACAAAAGAGAAAAAGGCCCTCCAAGAGGCCCACCAGCAGACACTGGATGACCTGCAGGTAGAAGAGGACAAAGTCAATACTCTGACCAAAGCTAAAACCAAGCTGGAACAGCAAGTGGATGATGTAAGCACATGCACACAGGACAATGATAG